ATCCAGTGCTTGTGTGTGTGTTTGAATGGTGTATCACAATGTGGTTTGTGTCGGTCAAGACATTAGCGAGTTTTACAACTCGCATGTCAAGTCGTCGTTTGTGTGTCGCATGTGTTTTTTCTATTTTGTCGAGTGTGAAGTGTCCATCGTGTCGCAGGTGTGTGCAGCAAGCCCCATCAACTCAAGAAGAATTTATCTTGCAGATCCAAGAACAAGAGCTCAAGATTTCAAGCCCAAGGGACGCGGATAAATATTAAATAGTGAAAATAGTAACGTTACTTCGTGTAGTGTTACATTTCACTTGGTGTAGCCCCTTGGAGGGTTGGTTTCGAGACTCTTCATGGTTGGGGACTCTGTGGTGGTGTACCACCAACCTGGACCTCGGCTCTTGGGGTATGTAGAGGCTGGGAACCATCTCCCTCTCGAACTCTTCTTGCTAAGTTTGTACTTCCAAGACTATAGTGGCTGCTATACCTCCTGCCAGTCAAACCGCCATAGCGTCGTCAAATCTTCATGGAATTTCATGATTCAACTTGCTGCTGATAGACGACAGCAACGCGCTCCAGATCCAACTTACAGATCACAGTTTGACTCAGCCAGCAGATCGTTATCAATATTTGAAGCCGTCTGACGGAAATCCGACTGTGCTCTCTATCTCTCATTATAGGCACATCTGAGCCTATTGTGACTATAACAAGTGGTATCAGAGCCCCTTGGAGCCGTCTCGACCATGCCTAGACCTGAGGAAGGGGGTGGCAGAGGTGCTGGAGGCAGAGAAGACGCCCAAGCACAAGGTCAACACCAAGATCCACCCGTTGCTCCGGTGCAACCTAGCCTTGGACCCTCTAGGGATGAGCCTAGAGTGTTTGGCCTTGACAAGTTCAACGGTGACAACTTTGCTGAGTGGTCCTTCAAGATGGAGAACATCTTTGACCACTATGATCTGCTGGAGGTGATGGAAGGAACGGAGAAGCGCCCCGAGAACGACCCGGAGAAGAGCCCGTGGGTGCGGAAGAGCGCACAAGGCTACCTTCTACTTGGGCAAGCGTTGGGGAGCAGCCAAATCCGTCACATCAAGCCTTTTCAGCGTGAACCAGCAAAGGGACCAAAGGCATGGGCTGCTCTCAAGGGTGTACACGCTCCTGCAACAGCGGCGGTGGCTGTGGTTTTGGAGCGGCAAATGGCGGCACTTCGAATTGACGAAGGCGAACCGGTGGAGGAAGGAGTGCAGAAATTCTTCGACTTGTTGACACGGCTCGAAGGAGCTGACCTGAACTACAGTGACCTTCAAAAGAAGACCAAGCTGCTGGCCTTACTTCCGGACTCATGGTCCTCGCTCATCATCAACCTTAATCGAGATCTGCCCCGTCTCTCACTCGAAGATGTGAAGCGGGAAATCTTACAAGAAGATTTCCGCCGTCGCGAATTGGCGGGTCCCGATGGTGCCGGAGTTGCAAGCATGGGCCGTGGGCACGGCCGTGGAAGGGGCAGAGGGCGAGGAGGAAGATTTGGCAGCAGTAACTTCAATGGAGGCCGTGGTAATGGAGGATATGGCAGCAACAACAACAACAATGGCTACGGGCGTGGGCGCGGTCGATTTGATGGCGAATGCCACTTTTGCCACAAGACCGGCCACATGTGGAGAGATTGCTTCAGATTGCCTGATGGATGGACCCCTTCTCAAGGCCAAGAGGGCAGAGGAGCAAGGGGAGGAAGAGGCAGAGGTCGTGGAGGCCGTGGTGGTCGTGGAAGCGAAGCGGCAAGCATGAAAGGTGGAGACTACGACAAGGACTCGAGTGAAGATCGATACCCGGGCCAATTCTTCTTTGTCTCCACGCAAGCGGCAGCTGCAGCAGGAGGTGTGGAAGGCTTTGAGGAGCCAGCTACTGTGGGAAAGGTCACCCTTCACTCTCTGGACTTTTGGGTGATCGATAGCGGCGCCACCTACAGCATGACACCTCGTGCGGACTTGCTCACCGAACTCGAACCGTCGCCGGTCAAGCATGTTACATCGGCTTTGGGGCAGCGAGCAGAGGTGAAGGGCATGGGCAAGGCCATGTTCAAGGGTGCTGATGGGAAGATGGTGGGCCTCAAGAACGTGCTTTTGGTGCCCAACCTAGCAGCCAACCTGATTTCCGTTCGGCGTTTGCAAAAGGCCGGCATGGACACATCTTCCAAGGGATCCAAAACCTATACCGCAAGGCTTGGTGAGCGGAAGCTTTGGGACCTTCATGAGGACAGGGACATCTACAATGAGATGTGGCAAATCCCAGTGGTCCCCATGCCTAAAGAGAGGCAAGTGGCAGCAAGCGTCAGCACCAAGCGTGAAGCGGTTGGTGGCGGTGATCACGGAAAGCAAAGTGACACCAAGAGTGACTCGAAGGAGTGCAACCTTGGAGAGACCAGCAAGGCGTGTGAACCCAAGGAGAATGGTGCAGCAGCCAAAGGTGGTGGAAATGAGGAGGAGAAGGCTAAGATCAACAAAGCAGCAGCGGCGAAGGAGAAAGGAGAGAGCTTGTGGGGCACAATTGCGAGTGCCGCTTTCTCCAACCCGACTTCCGCTACGGGAGAGTGTGATTGGCTGACCTTGCATCGGCGAATGGGGCATGTGGCATTGCCCATTTTGCAGCAGATTGTTAAGCAAGAGATGGTCAGTGGGATACGTGTCAAGGGGGAGCCCAATGAGGTGCTTGGCTGTCCAACATGCATGCAAGCCAAGTTCACCCGCTACCCGTTCCATAGCTCGGAGACAACGGCGAAGGCACCACTTGATGAGGTGGTGATGGATGTGGTGGGCCCTTGAAGCTTGGAGCTGCTGGAGCAGAGTACTTCCTCACCATTGTGGACGTCTACACTCGCATGACTTGGGTGTATGTGCTGCCCAAGAAGAGTGACGTAGCTGAAACGGTGAAGACCGATTGGTTGCCGATGGTGGAGCGGCAACAAGACCGACTTGTGAAGGCGATTCGCACTGACCGTGGGGGAGAGTTCCTGAGCAAGGATTTCTCAACTTGGCTGAAGAAGCAGGGCATAAGGCACTCTCTTACCATGCCCTACTCTCCTGCAATGAACGGCATCGCCGAGCGTGCGAATCGGACACTCACGGAGACGGCTCGGGGACTTCTCATTGAAGCCGGTCTACCCAATTACTTTTGGCCGGATGCGGTGCGGCATGCTTGTGTGGCCAAGAACAGAGCCTTGACTCATGTGGGAGAAGACAAATGGGTGCCCTATGTGGAGTGGATTGGAAGGAAGCCGAAGGTGGATATGCTTCGGGTGTTCGGGTGCATGTGCATGGCACTTGTGCCTAAGAAACTTCGGCACAACAAGCTTGATGCCAAGGCAACATGGGCCGTGCACCTGGGCATGGCTCCAAAACAGCAAGGGATGGCTTCTATGGGACCCATTTACCAAGAAGTTCCTGGTGAGCAGAGATTGCAAGTTCATGGAGAACTTACCGTACAAGGAGTGGAAGGCGGAGAACCAAGCGAAGATTGGTGTGCGGCTTGGAGAGGTGAAGAGGACCGGCTTGGAGCATGTGGAGCTGCCCTTGGAGCTGAGTAGCAGCAGCACAATCACGAGGCAATCTCCCCAAATGAATGGGGATGAGGAGGAGGAGGAGGTGCAGCAAGGTAATGAGCGTGCACCGCCACTTCCGCCTCGTGCTACAAGTGCTCGCGGGAACCGACCGGACTTACCGCAAAGCCATGAGAGCATTCAAGTCCCTGCAGCAGAGGAGGAAGGAAGGGGGAGAAGGAGGACTCAGCCCCCCAATAGGTTGAGCTATGAACGGCTTGGAGGACCAGCCAACTCAACCTTGACCGGTTCGGCTCTCATGCTAGGTGATGATGCGGAAGATGAAAGCGAGGAGTGCGCCTTTGCCTTCTTCTCTCCGGTGGAGATACCGGGGGAGCCTACAAATCCCAAGGAGGCTTGGGAGGGCCCCAATGGGAAGGAGTGGAAGAAGGCCTCAGATGAAGAAATGGGGAGCATCATCGAGAACGACACGTTTGACTTGGTGAACCTACCTCCGGGGCGTAAGGCGATTTCTTCCAAGTGGCTCTTCAAGCGCAAGACCGACGCCGACGGCAACATTGAGCGCTACAAGAGCAGACTTGTAGCCAAGGGGTACCAGCAGCAGGAGAAGAAGGACTACAATGAAGTGTATGCTCCTGTGGTGAAGGGTACAACCCTTCGAACTCTCTTCGCCGCGGCGGCCATCAAAGGATGGGTGGTGAAGCAAATGGACATTGTAACGGCCTTCCTCAACGGCGTTTTGGAGGAAGAGACCTACATGGAGCAGCCAGAGGGGTACAATGATGGGAGTGGCAGAGTGTGGAAGCTGAAGAAAGCACTCTATGGCCTCAAGCAAGCCCCTAGGCAATGGTACATCAAGCTGCGGGAAGTCTTGGAGGCGATCGGCTTCACTCCCTCAACGGCCGATCAATCCTTGTTCATGCTTGGCGAGGGGGAGCAGAGGAGCTTCATGGTGGTTTATGTGGATGACATCCTCATATTCTCACCCTCCTCTGACCTTGTGAAGGAGGTGATGCTGAAGCTTCAAGACAAGTTCAAGTGCAAGACCCTTGGTGACGTCAACTACTACCTTGGGCTTCACATTGAGCGAGATGTGGAGAAGCGGTGGATGCGAGTGCATCAAAAGAAGTACTTGGAGGCCTTGGCTGCAAACTTTGGGAAGAGTGAAGGTCATGTGGCTACTCCTCTTCCCTCAGGGTTCAAGTGTGTGAAAGGACCAGCGGAGGAAAGTGTTGGTGAAGAGGAGAGGCGCGTTTTCACTCCTTGGTGGGCAGCCTCATGTATGCGGCCGTTCACACAAGGCCGGATGCAGCCTTTGCTACCGGGCAGCTGGCTAGGGTTGTCCAATGCCCTAATGAGGAGCAGGTAGCAGCTGGAGAGAGGGTGGCCAAGTACCTTGGCCAAACAGCAACTGTTGGACTGCAATACTCCGCGGCGGCACAAAGGCGTCAAAAGGGTGCGGATGGAGTCGAACCCGGGAGGCTCTTTCTCACCGCCTTCTCTGATGCATCTTGGGCATCAGAACCAGAGGACATGACAAGTGTGGGAGGCTTCATCTGCTGTGTTGGTGGAGGCCCAACAGCTTGGGAGAGCAAGAAACAAGTGGACCAAGCATTGAGCTCGGTGGAGTCCGAGTACATGGCACTCTTCCGTGCCATAAGAGAGGTTGTGTGGCAGCGGCGTTTGCTAGCTGAATTGGGGGAGGAGCAGCAAGGACCTACCCCACTCTACTGTGATAGCCAGGGTGCTATTGCATTGGCTAAGAACCCCGTTCTTCATGGCCTTACCAAGCACATGAAGGTGAAGTGGCATTGGGTGAGGAGCATGGTAACCGCGGGTGAAGTGGAGTTGCACTACGTGAAGACGACGGCGCAGCCTGCTGATATGATGACCAAGAGGCTGGTTGAGCAGCAGCATTGGAAGTGTTGCAAGCTTGCTGGGATGGCTCTGAACTAAGGGGAGCAGATTCTAAGGCCAACAATCCGAGGGGGAGTTTGTTGGTGCAACCTTATG